CTACAAAAACAAAAACACCTACTAGCTGTGGCGAATTCTTTGGCCTCTGCGGGTCGCTTGCCGCAATCATAGAAGAATTTTTCATATCCAGGTCGCCAAAGGCCGCTCTAACTCGATTTTGAGCTGACGTAATGCACGTGATTATTGTCAGAGTCGTTTTGAGATTATTCCCAAAGCTAATAAGTGTTAAAAGAAGGGAATAAACCAGCTTTTCCACAAAATTTAACACCATTTTCATACAGACAATGCAAGAAACCACCAAAAGCTATCAAAATCCGGATTCCGCGCCCACAGTGGACTCCGAGTTCGTTTAAACAACTTCTAATTAAACTGCACCCGCATGGGAAATCTTAAGGGCCCGAGTAATTATCATCAAGTGCTAAAACTGTGTTAAACTTTTCCTTTTTGGAACCACTTTTGAAGAAAAATTTTGGGTCTGCATGTAGAATGTGGCCCTGGTTTACTATTCCTCCAACTATTCTACCAAACATTATTATCATCATGCTTATGTGTTCGTTCATCTATACAGCCAAGGTGTTCCCAGTCGAATGATGAAAGGCGAAAAAATTCACAATTCGGTGGGCCTGGGCAGTGCTCACAAGCTTCAGATATTTGTTTTTCACCATGGAGCGTAAAATGCTGCGGCTTTATCCGTGATAGTTTAGGATTAAAAGAAGCATTGACTAGACTGAGAAAACATTTATTGGCTCCCCCTGTTATATGCTCCGTGTTTTCAAAAGATTCGGGAAACCAGATCATTAATACTGACTGACATATGCCAAATTATTTTCAGAAAAGTGATCCTCACACTGAAGGCTAAGTTGGTCAAGTCGTGCAAATCGAACGCCCAAGGGCTCTCCATTTCACCAGACTGACTTTCGGACGGAAACAACTCTTGTGTGGACACGCCATGGACTAGCACCGAAACCCGATTGTCCGCACCAGTCAGCTCATTCACTCAGGTAGCTACCAATCCTCAGATGTGCACGCATGAACAAGACAAACCGATGGCTTGTTACCCTGTCGAACACGACTACGTCACAAGGCATGCTTCATTACACTGGCATTGCTACATTGCACTAATTTGTGTCTTCGTTTTACTAGAATATCTGGATAGCCTAACACTGGTGAACTGAATGGGCCACTGCCTCAAACGCGCGGCCGTCACTCATTCTTGGCAAATAAACCATCAGCATCCAGAGCCACTGCACTTTAGCGCCGGGTTTATCGCTAGGAAACTCTCGTGAATTGATATCACAATTGTGCCTTGTGTTCGGAAGAGGAGCGAGCATACACAACAAGCGTCTGCAGTGCGCGACAGAGTGGTTTGTTATCCAAATCGCCTCATCGGTCCTATATTAAAGTCGCAATGGAACATGATAAACTGGCCTGAATAACGGGTTTTATGCGCAAAGGATAGGTGTTGTCTTGTCATTAGTAACCATAGGTGCATAGCCGACATATCTGTAGCTGTGCTTCGGAGAAGAAACAGCGCAAAATGAGACAACGAGGTGTTTCGATCTAATGCCGGAGCGAAATGAGGCCAAAACCAGTAGTGGTTTTCGCCTAACAAGCGCCTAACGTAGCAACTAGGCTAACGCGGTTAATGACATTCCAGAATCGCATACGTGGCAAAGACGCTGAGATAGTCAGCTGAAAGCAAATGCACGCCGCTAAAGCGGCTGCTGGACTTCCTGGTCCATATTTCACTGGGACCCAACCCAGGTCAACATCCACTATGTCCGAAAGCTGTAGTGGTGGGCCCGCAATTTTGGCACAAAAGCCTAATTGGGATGCGACAGTGGTTGACATGTGACTAGCAGGGCGTTGCAGTTTGCTCAGAAATCTCGGCTGAAAAGGCTAAAGGGCCTACAAGCAGGCGATCTATATCGCTTGGTGTTTCACTGGTGCACGAAGCAGCCGGTTGGAGGCCACAGACGTCAGTGGCCGGTGCTCCACAAGGGGCACATAGGCTAAGTGCTTCATGGGCTATTTTCCCACAGCACGCGATGATGTAGGCGAATAACATTGCGGGGGCCAGGGAAGCTTGACGGACCGGGTCTTATAGTTTTTAAAGTTCTAGCAGGTTTTTTCTTGTGGAGCCGCACCATTTTACACCTAGAACGACGTAGGATTAAGAAATCTCTCAGCACTAATGAAAGAACCCACAGAGATGCCAGTGTCGGTGGGTTTGCATGGGGAAGCAGGATGAACACTGAAACTCGGAGGACGTCAGAGGTGGCTTACCCGCCCTACTGGACGCCGGAAGTAAGGCGCCATGGCTCCTGACCAAATTACAGCTGAAATGCCGTAACCTTATTTTGTTCGCAAAAAGAAGAGTTAGACACTGTTTTGGCTATTTCGGGACGCTTTACATGACCCCCAGTCCATAAATCAAAGGCCTGGATGGGCACATAAGTAGGGCTGCTGGGGCTCGGTTAAACTGGAACTAGAAGACATGGACACAGCGGTTGCCTGCTGCAGCTATGTGATGGCCACCGGCATCAGTCGGCTTGAATAAGGCTTTGCCTCTCGCCCATTCTGGAGCACCCACGTGCATTCTGATCGTGAAATTGTCCACTACCGCCTCATGGGACACGTATGATCTACCGGCACCTCTTTGTAACAGCCCTTTCCGTGATCCTTGCTTGCTTCAGGTGATTGTGCAAGAAGCAGCATGCCACACTCGAATTCAATGAGCGCTAAATCACGAGCCGAATTCTGAAATTGCTTGAAGACAGGAATTGTACACAAGACTGCCAGTCACCAACGAAGACCTGGGTAGTGAGCTTGAAATTCAGACGTCTTTGAAAACTCACCGACTCTTTTGTTCTTAAAAGCCCCGTTATATTTCTGGTCAACACGGATTTCTCCCAAACCGTTCTTGCGTGACAAACATGCTCGTGTTTATGGACAGCTTAACCCAAGCCAAGGACGAAGGACTCATATCGGATGCCATATTTTTCGACTTCTCAAAAGAATCCGTGAATCCGTGAAGTGCTTCCTATAACCTCTCGACTGAGCAGTGCTACACCCTTTTTTCACTTGTGCCTTTCAGGTGAACGACAGCCACTGACCGACAAGAACAAAACCGACCCGGGAAACTTTGGCAAAAGCCTCGATCCTGTGTATCAATCCGTGAATCCGTGAATCCGTGAAGTGCTTCCTATAACCTCTCGACTGAGCAGTGCTACACCCTTTTTTCACTTGTGCCTTTCAGGTGAACGACAGCCACTGACCGACAAGAACAAAACCGACCCGGGAAACTTGGGCAAAAGCCTCGATCCTGTGTATCAATCCGTGAATCCGTGAATCCTGAAGAGCCCTCAACCAGCTCTGTTTAAGGATGGAAGCAAAATCATCGGTTCGCAGATTGTGCCCCGCTTGCCCCTGCCTAAGTGAAGGATTCCGTCGACAGTAACAAGGAAATGGTTATGGTTGTGCTGTCAAACTGAGTGTTGCAGTGCCCTGCCGCCAATGGCACCAAATAATTCGGTTTTCGGACGGCTCCATGAGGGACATCATATTTTAGGTCATTGAGCTGGGATGAGCAATGTTCAATGTGCAATGTGAAGTGATCAGCGAGATTTTTTCGGAATGGCCAAGGAAATCCGCATTGATAGGACGGAGCCGATTCAAGCTCTCAGGCATTCTTCCGATTGGGGATCTAATTGGAGGCCAAATGGAGTGGATAAGAGCTAAGGGGTTTGAATCTCCCAAGGCAGCGTTCCCTTCAAAAGCAACCACCAAAGTTGCACAGCGCATATTAACGGCCGAAACCAGGTCAGGAACACTGGTACAGTCGCCGTATATAAGGTATATGCCACGAAAACTTCCGGGAAATTACGACGGCTTCTGGATGCGCCACTGGCTACCCGTTACATGGCAAATACTGGATGATGATTGGCTGAAGGGTCCAGGCTTTTGACCAATCAGAGCTCGATTTAAGGCCGGACCGTATAGCGGCCAGAACTTTTGGCCAATCTTGTGCGAGATAGGCTTCTCGTCCGTAGCAGAGCCTAACTACCAGCAATAAAACGGCATCGCTGTGGGATTCCGTCTGACGTTCTCAGACTGCTTACGTTTGTGCTCCACAATTGCCTTAATCGGGTCAGCTTAAATTGACATCGTGGAAGACCCGTCGCTGATCCGATTTTGGACAATCATAAAGCAATGTTTTAAAGAGTTCATGTTGATGTTTCTACAGAATGAGAAAGTTGAAAGGACAAGTGTGACATATGATCATCTTTCATTTTTATGTGGGCTACAAGCTAGAGGGACTATATGTGAAAAGTAATGTGATCATTTCCATCGTGTCCGATTGACGAACTAATAGTTGTTGGATTATTCTATCTCCAGACTGCAATTCATATGTGCTGCGCATAATGGTATGGAACGTGCAGTAAACAGGATTGGAAGAACAGGCCTGCTTATAGAGGATATTTCTCAGAAGAAAACAACTTATTGTTGGCTGTGAGGCTGTTTTCAGCGGCTGATTTCTTCCCGGAAGGAATCTGTAGGAGCTGTAAACGCGGAAGGGCTGGTTTTGAATATAGCGTATAAGGTCCGTTGCTGGATTCAGAATTGGGTCTTAGTCTGTCCGAACCTAGCCCCTGTCCGCTGTTTACGGATGACGGCTTTACAGACCAACCTTGAAGTCGATCGGGATACAATCACCGTAAAGTTACTAGTAGGTTCCGGAAATGCCTATTTTCGTCCGACACTTTTTTTGGTTAACTCCCATCAAGGGATAGCCCTACGCGGGTTTAAATGGAGCTAACAATCACACGTACTATGGGAAGTGGAATCTCTGCAAAAGTGCATGTAGTAGCGGCCTTTGAGAATAAGTGGAAAGGAGAAGGACTGCACTAGGGGGGAAGGGATTTAAGGAAAGATAAATGTGTTTATTTCATCAGTTTTTTCTTCATATTTCAGCATAAACAACAGGGAACCGCTTTCGAAAGAGAGTTTTCTGCTGGTGGTACACCAAGCAGAGCCTTCAGGTTGCTGTGTTCAGGGCCGCTTTCCGCATCGGCTTAAACCTTTTTGACAATGACTCCTGCATGGTGTTTCGACGATGCGAATTTGTCTCCTCCTTTGGACGATTCGATGAGCGGAATAGGAGCCGACTTTGTCAACTCTATGTTTAGTATGCGGTAAGTGGCTACTTATCTTCGAATGAGGTGTTCGCATACAGGAGCACCAGCGTCGTTCCCGTTTTACGGGTTTCAACAAGTCATTCGATGAACCAAGAGCTCTATGATAGCATAGCACAAGTATTGGGAGATCGTCAAACATTCATTCCGTGAATTTTAATCGAAGTAAACACAAACGCCATCAACTTGGACTGGTGACTTGGTCTTCAATCTCGTGGTTGTTTTGGTGTACCACTAACTATTCCACCATCCACGGTCGCTTGAGACACTGACTACTCTGTGAGGAAGCTGCTGTCTTAGAGGGTCCACGACGACAATGCCCCCCGTTGTCCACAGTCCGCTTCGTCAGTTTCATCTTCCAAGCGGTAATCATAGCTAGGCCACGTATACATCCCTTGCGATGTCCGTTTTTGGCTTACTGAAATGACAAATATATGGCAAAAATATGAGAAATATACTACTGAATACATAAAGCGCATCATAAAACTAACTGTAGCGTCCTTCGGGAGGCCTGAATCGCCGAGGTAAACCACTTAATTTCAATTGGTCTACAGCGGTACATTCATGAGTGGTCGTACAGCGGTCCAGTCAACCTAATTTGTGGTTATTCAGTGTGTCCCAACCTACGAGTTTGGTGGCAACTCTTAGTTGCGCCTGGGGTGAGGGCTTCCCCATCAGCATTCGGGATTTTTGTTGGTTCATTGAGTACGTGCGTCGCGAACGAAACTCGTGTAGACGAGGATTCGGTGTTCGTAGTGTACCACCGGACGTCTATAGTTGGTGATGCTTGAGGCTTCTCGTAACCGAATCTGTGATATTCCTCCAGAGGGTATACCTACGGACGATCGACGAAAACCGTTCTGGTGATGTGGACTCCATCCTAATATCCATGACTAATTGTACAGATTCGGACCACACAAGACCGCTCTTGGGGGAGTTCATCTTTCAGAACGCAAATTATGTTTAAATGAATTTCTTTAAAAGTCCAGGCTAGTGATGAGAGTGATAAAACATCAACGGTAAATTAAATACCGGCATTCGGTTTTCATGACAGTTGCTGAAAAATAACTTTACTGCCTTATTGATGAAACCCCAACTCGGAAAAACCATGTCATGTTTTCAATAAGTGGAATGTATACCTGGCTCCTCATTGGTTCAACCTACCAAAACTTTTCCTTTCATTTCTCCTTCTCCCAGTGACGCTTTGTCAGCTCTCCCTGTTTGTGATGACTTTACAACATTCGAATCAAGTGGCAGCGTGATCGCTGAAAACGATTTCTCGTCCGACCAAGTGTGAGTACGCGTTTTCCCCTGTGGCGCAAGTTGCCTGTTCTTTCATGTAGCGTCGCGTTTTTCCACTGTGGTTGACATTTGTGCGCATCACAGTACCTTCCTCCACTGTGATCACTTTTTGTTGGCCTCATGTCCCTCCTGCGATTCCCATGATATGAGTCTGCTTGTGACCTGGGGCAAATTTATCCCCACGTCACAAGCGGTTAAGGCACAAAACTCCTGATCATTTTGTTCTTTGTTCAAACCCAGCAATGCTTTTTCCATTGTTCCTGCGTCTGGGTGTATCAACCTTTGTAGTTGTTTCTAGTTACGTGGCAGCTGTGCACCGATTCACATTGTTTCTCCGAATAAAAGCGCGAATATACATCCCACATAACATTTTATACCACGGACAAATATCACTTGCAGCATCCCTGAGAGTGCCCACTGCCTAGAGCGACTGTTATGACCAGCTTCACTAGTGGTGACTGGAAGGATTTTACTTACTCGCTGTTTCATGATGTGTGAGCTAGTTCTTTTCATGTGCCTCAAACATAGAATGTGTGGTTGCAGTAAACCACAAACTGGTCTGCAAACACCCTGAATAGTTATCACCTGGGGGCGGTCGAAATTCTTTTCTCATTGATCCATCCCCAGGGAAGAACCGCTGCATTCTAACTGCTCCGCGATTTCAAACCTCCCCTTACCTTAAGAATTCCCTATGTTTGGCTCGGCAGTAGTTCAACCTAGAATTTGGTGGAATGTGCCACTCCTAAAATCGGAGTGACAGAACGAGCTTACTGACTGAAAGGTCCGTGGTTCGAACCCGACCTCTATATCTCAACTTTTGCCTAGGCTTTGGCCGCCTGGCAGTATTCCAGCCTTCGTGCTTCCTTCGTGTGGCATGGTAGCCAGACACCGAGAATGTTATAGCTGAATGGTCATTATTACTATTGATTGAAGAATTTCCTAATTTTGTCGTTCGATCTAAGTTTAACTGGGTGACAATAGTTCTTTGTTCGTTCTACTCTGGGTTGTTGGGGGCTGACGGCCACCGCAGACGTCGTATATGCACCAGTCAAAGCTATTCAAAAGTGTGGATACCTCACGTTTACGCCTACATTCCACCACCACGATTGTTAACAACGAAAATATCAATAATCTGGTATGGCAAGTGTGCGGTAGATTTTTTCACCTCCATGAGTGAATATCTTCGTCAAGGAGACACCTTACTTTCCTCCGGAGGTGTTTCCTCAATGGAGCAGGAGGGATACCGTTCTTCTAAGCAAACGCCAGGCAATGCTACAGGAAATGTATTTGGTTGCCGTTTTTCGTATGAAACCCGACAATTCCCAGTTATTTTCATAATTGTCTTTTTCTCGTTTGCCCTTCAGCCTACGTAACTTTCAGGCGGTGCTTAGAGCACCCACTTCCTCCGCAACGAAATTCAACGAACCACCGCTGACGTATCTGAATCAGAGTAAGTTGGTTTGCTGTTGTGAATCAGTTTCGATCGATATATATATATATATATATCCATATATAGCGATTCAGAGTAAGTTTGTTTGCTGTTGTGAATCAGTTTCGATATATATATATATATATATATATATCCATATATAGCGATACGCAGTGTGAAATGGTTTATCACATCTCAATACAGTGACCCCTAATGAGAGTTCTCTCAAGAGAGGTCATGAGAGCGTTTTGTATCACCAGGATTTCCTTTAAAACCCTCCATGAACACCCCAAGGAGCCCCTTTCTTTACGGTTTACTCCTCTCAGCAATGTCACTGTTGTCGCTTGGATTCGATGCACTATAAATTAAGAGGAACGATCACTTCTCCAATGGCGCTTCCGATCATTCAGTACGTGATGTACAACCCTTATAGGGGGAACTACTTCTAGAGCAGACTTGTCATTTGAGTGTATTAATGCTTCCCATAATTATTAACTGCGAGATGGCTCAATGTTTAGGGCTGGAATCCACTGGCCGGAAGGTCTGTGGTTCGAGCCTGAACTCTGCATCTCGACTACCCCTGTCTAGGCTTGGGCAACGTGGCAGTATCCCAGCCCTCATTCTTCCTTCAGATGGCATGGGAGTTACGCACCGAAAGGTGCTACAGCTGGACGGTTTTCTTCCTTCGTATCGGTCGGCTGGAGACACCTTGGAATGCGTATTTAGGTGCGTGGACTGCTCTTATCAGTCTTTTCATAAACCAGTCGTATTGGACTTGTTTCGTTCGGAAAAAAACAGCGCCGCGAAGACAGGATGTGCTCCTCCGCTGCATTTTGTGATTCCCGATGGATAGTGGCCAAATGCAATAGCGCACATGAAGAGGGGCGTTTCAGGAAAAGAGGTCTTTCTCAAAGGTATTGCTATATCTCTTTCCTTATTCTTGTTTTTATCGGGTGGTTTACTGTAGAGCATGGCAATAAAGGATTGCAGACTTGATAGCCATTCCACGAGATGTATCTATCAACAGCTTTTCTGTCCTTTTAGCTTTGCTTGAGTCTGAGTGGAAAGGGTTTCAGTTGAAAGGGCTGGCCGAACCACTGGACTATGACAGGCTTATCTGTTGCAGTCCAGCCTTCTGACATCCTTCATTTTCAGCACTACGGTGTTTTCACCTGATTCAAGTAAGGCTTTGTAGATTCAAACCATCTACTATGCACACTCCTCGTGGCAAACACTAGAAAGTCGCACAGTCTGCGGAAAGCACGATAACTGAAGTCATCTTAGGTTTATTAGGTTTGCAGCCTCGTTTTGGAAATTCGGTTCGAATGTATTACGAGGGCCCTCAGCATGATAGTGAGCTACACTGGGACCAGAAAGTCTGTAGGAACTCATCAAGATCCGTACAGTGACGTCTCAGTATCAGATAAACTGTAAACGAAAAGGGAGAATGAACCCACTCACTGCTTAGTATAGAACCCTAATTTGTGCACTATCTGATGCTATCTTCGTTGATGTTGATGTCATCTTTTCCCGTCACCCCTCCAATGGTATCATCTGTCTCATGAAGTGGTGCGAAAGAAGTTGTGAGGAATTTCTCAATAAATAACCGTCAATTTCCATAGATGATACCCCTTTAGTTTCCTCTTTGTCTTCTCTTTGTCTACCAACTCGCATTCCAGGTCAGGTATATGAACTTGTGTTGCAAAGGGACACGGATAAAGTTTCACAAGTCAAGGTAGGTTTATTTTGACACACCATCGAGGAATATAGTTCGGTTCCCTCGGCGGTAGTCGAATTTTACTGCGTTTGACATATTCTTTGTGGTTACCAGATTCAGCGATGTAAAAGGCATCTGACCTCACGGAAATCACAAAACTCTAACTACTTTGTTTGCAAGTCCCCTTTCAAGGTGGATTACAGTTGACCTTCTCTACTCATAGTTATTGACTCCGCAAGATGTCGGTGGCGTTTGTGTTGTTATTTTCTGTCCGGATTGGTATTTTGTGTATGTAGTGTACCCACCTATTGACTCCGCAAGATGTCGGTGGCGTTTGTGTTGTTATTTTCTGTCCGGATTGGTAGTTTGGGGATGTAGCTGTCCCCCCCAATTCCGTTTTCGTCGCAGCATAAATCGAAAGCTTTCTCCACTGCTGCACCCAGTAATGATTCTGAGGTTGTTTATAATTTCTTGGGCGTGGATGGATGATCCGCTCTACAGGTAGATTGTGAATTTGCATTGTTTAAGATAAAGGCTGTTTCTTGAGGCTTGGCTTGAAAACGGTTGTGAATCGTCAGTTCGTAATTCGTTTTGCTCCCGTAGCTTTTATGTCGACATTTCATTTCTGTATCATGGAGCAGTTTTATTCTGTGCAAAGCCCGCTTCCCCATTAAGGGCTATTCGGGGTTCGGGAGCACGACTTTCCTAGGGTGCTTGGATAACCGAACCCATCCGGTTTCTTGAAAGGACGGCATTTTTGAAGATACGACCGTGCACCACTCATCCACTACGGGTATCCCCCGAATTGTTGATCTCGTGTATCGGTGTAGATTAGTTGGTCGAATGAAGGCCTTCTAAACCATTCCTACTCACACCCAATGGCTGTTTTTTCAACGAGCAAAATGATCACTGAATTAACGGCTCTTCACGCGAACTATTAGTGCAGTGGATCCAAGTTTGGGAATCGTGCAGTGGGAAACTGTCATCCCCTGCGGAACCCCTAACCACTACGCATAATTGCGGGAATTTCCACAAATGAGCTCACTCTCCTGATATATCCACAAAACTGTTCTCCATCATCCGCAACATAGTATGTCACCATTCAGGATAGGACTCATCCACAGACGGTGTTTTTCGATACTCACATGCTGTTTTATTGCATCCCCGCCGAAGACAGGCCGAGTCTCCTTTTTCCCTGTAGTGCCCTCTCTTTAAGGGGATTGCTGTGCTCTTCACATTGGTTGTCACTGATTATCACTGCCATTGACTTCTTGAGTATGTTCAACCGTTATCCCTGGACGACGTACGGGAAACGTGGGAACTTCTGCTCGAATCCTGTCGCATTTGGCAAGCAGTTGGAGATCAGCATTATCTGTAGTGATCAGTTTTCCGCAACTTTTAATCAAGCTCCCAGTGCTTAACCTCTCTATCAGAGTCGACCGCCTCATGCTATGGAGCTGGGAAATAAACATCAGAGCCCTGCATATTCAGTATGCCACAGCTTGATGGATCTAAGACATACCAAATCACAGTTAGGTTTGACCTTCCTGGTTGGGTGCTTTTCTGTTCTTTTTTTGGTATCTTTTCTGAAATAGGGCAGTACAAGGTGTGACCAAGCTCGATGAGGAAACAAACTTACCGGGTGTCCGTGTAGTTCGACATTGCCACTTGTTCATTTTGGTGGAGTCGCGCACTCCGGGTAGCCCATTAATTGACCATAAATGATCACGCTCTGTACGAACTGTGGCCCATGACCTCCTATTTCACGGGCTGCCTCATTCAGCTTGTATCTCCCGTCTGCGAATGCGAACCAGCACGGGAAGCCACGTTGCTTTCTTCTTAGACTAGCTGGAGAAGGAACACATACGTTCACAAGCTAGCAAGTTGCTGTGGTATTCACCATCAAACTTTACGGTTGTAGGATGTATCCGCGCTGAACTGATCCATCATCAAGCAGGCAAAATGGTCAGTTCCTATACGTGGTAGGCATGAGTTATGGTGTATTGTTGTGTGCAATCACTTGTTTGTCTGCCTCCCTTCCAGTAGTGCATCTCGTAAAGCAAAAAAACATAATCGGCGTCACTTTCCAACTTATCGCCACGGTAGCCGTCGATGTGAGTTGGCAGTAGCGTCCATGGCATCCAACCACCGGTAGATCGCTTAGTACGAGAGGCCACGCACTTCTTTCCTTCGTGAGCATCTCCTGACGGCTTGCTTAATCATCAATCATTGCAATTAAATTGTTTCTGTTGCATGTAGTTTTCCGGTCTTATGAAAAGTATGTTCGTACCTCCTTGCACACGCTATTCCATCCATCCCGATCCTTTCAGAGTTTGATCACCCTTCGATTTCATGAACATCAGATGGAGTTGCAAGAACAAGAGCATTTGAACAGTTGGCGTGAGGCACATCCGGGAGAACGACTCCTTGACGTGGGTGAGTCACTCGGATTTCTAGATTCTAGTTATCTGGATTCAGAAAAAAGGGTAGTATTTTGTCATGGTGAAACAGAACAATGACTGCGGGCACTTCATCACACGGGTACATTTGCACTTAGTTCTCAGCAGAGAATGATAGTCAATTGAGTCTGCGTATCTCTCAGAGAGGAGCCATTGGTTGGCGGAGTGAAGTCAATACTTTCACGTAACTCCTTCAATAACAAAGTGTGATTAACACAACCTTACTGTTTTTTTTTTGGGGGGGGATAGCCTTCGGGTGATATCCGATAAATCACGCTGAACGGTTGAGCTGGGTTGGTTTAATGGTTTGTATCAATCAGATAGTTTGCATTTGCACTGGCCGTGCGTTTAGCTTCGTTACTTTGAATACAAACAGTAATCGCGCCTTTCTTCTCTGGGCTAGATTGCGTCGTACGACTTAGATATGTTGGAGAACACGAACAAATAAGGGAATGGATTAACACTGGGGCACAGGGGACCGAAAACTTACCTTCCAGATCTGTCTTGGGCAGGCGGGTACTACCGAAATAGACCCTTAGTTGTGCTGCACTGAACGTTCTATTTGCTAGGCGATGTGTAACAGCTTCAGAATCTTTGTTCCTTATGAATGACAATTGTATGTGGATACCTAGTTCGCGTAGCTGAAATAGTTGGTTTATCTTAAGCCGTGCGCCCCACTCTCCAGGAATACGATCGCTTGTGAGCTGTCCGGTGATCATTCCAAAATATTCATGACCTTCACGGGGTAACCGTAAGTAATGTGGTTAATCCCCAAGGACGTGAACCTCTGTGTCGATCAATGACTGTTTTACCGCCTTAGACTTACCACAACATGATCCCCGTCCTCACTTCTGTTAGTTTCCGGGCCTCACATAGCCTAAGAAAGCCTAGGACCTGAAGTCACACCCCCGAATTGAAGGGAACCTCACTGAGAACGCTTTTCGAGAGAAGGGGTACGTTGATCTTAATGATACTAGTACTAATAATGATCGTTCAGCTGTAACTCCCTTTCGGTGCCCAGCAGCTATGGCACCCGAAGGAAGCACGAGGACTGAGATACTGCCAGGTTACCTAAGCCTAGGCAGAAGAAGTCGAGATGCAGAGGTCAGGTTCGAACCACGGATCCTTCGGTCGGTAATTTCGTACCTTAACCACTAAGTTATCTGGAGCTCGTTTGCTCACAGTCTGAAATTTAGGCGACAAGATTATGTTTTCCACTATTCTCATCATCCTCCCGCTGGATGCAGGAAGATAAGTTTTGTCACAAATGACAAATCGCACCAGAAATCAACACCAGACTTTGATCGACTGGCCTAAAAACACCAAAAATCGAAAAGTGAGTGCATGAGTGAGCGTGATTCACTGCGTTGTTCAAATACTAGAGCGTTTTTGTCCACTCATGGCATATTGATTATTCCACTTTCTTGATGTACGCGTCAAATTGTCATCAACAATTTGACATTGTTAATTTGCACATTTCGCAAGTTAAGATGATACCTGAAACTACGTGAATGAAGTGGATTTGCATACAGATGTAATACTTTCATTTGTGATCCGTCTTTGAAACTCTCTTGATCTTTACTGATGCTATAGCCTCATCGATGATTCAGTGGATTCATTTCAAGATAAATCTTGACTATGGAGCCTTTCCGAATTTAGTCGACTTTCTGCATTTTCCCCAGCGCGCCCTATGGCCACATTGGCAATGCACATGGCTCTCTTGCATACACACGAACACTTGATTTAGACGCCTCTCTAGGTTTTGAAACGAGCAAATTGGCACTACCAATCAGTTAACAAGACTCTGGTTCGCCCATTGAGGCATTAGAGTACTTAAAATTGCCAGTCATTGCTGAGTGGAGCTGTCGGTGCTACTCGCCTTCCAGGATGGGGACCGCGTGATCCTCACTGTGCCTGGTTGGAGACACTACAAGATATGGCTGCCAACCGATGTCAGTGGCGTTCTTGTTGTCAGTTTCTGTCCAGATTGCCTGAGTGAATGTCTGGAGGTGTAGGCGCCTCGGAATGATTGTGTTAAGCTAGCACTAAGTCCCTCCCCCATCCACCTTTATTCTTTTCTTTACAATAAGGCTTTCAAATAAGTCATGGTTGTACGGCAGTGAAGCATTGGTGTTGAGCACTGATGTCATGCTGTCGTTGATGATGATGATGATGAGTGGAGCTGAGCGCGGGACATCTGAAGAAAACAATACAGAGCTTCAGGCCTCTCACGTCATCCACAGCTTGCCTCAGTTTCTTTCGGTGGAGATGTTGAATAGGTCAACATGGCGTCTTCCTCTCCAGCGGACTGAGAACCTCCAATAGCATGCTAACAGGGCGAATGCACAATGGAGTGGACATCTATGACCCCGTAACTGAGTGGATGGTTGTTGGTCGTTAGTTTTTGAAAGGGCTTCGGTCCAACTGTTACAAAAGCAAAAAGACCGGTAAATGTGGCTGAAATCTACCAATGTGACGGTTCCGTGAAACCGTTTCATGATTTTGTCGTGTCCATTTTTCGCTTGGTCAGTGTGATGCTCTCGTAAACCCTGATGAGCTTTGTCGCCTACTGATCGAAGGTCATACTTTTGCATACAGTGAGACTGGGTGCTCCTAGAATTTGTTGAGGGTTGTATACTGGAGAGACTATGTGACGGATAAGAGATTATGGTTTGGAGCCAATTACTTAAGAACCTTCCTATTTTACACGTTTTCGCCGTTCGTGACGTTTCTTTTTTGGAATAACTTCCACTGTTGACCAAATTCTTCTTACCGTTCTGTACAATTTTCGTGTTACGAACCGCCCCCTTACTGACCAGGCAAGTTCGTCACCTACCTTAAAATTTGTCCTCCGTTTGTGTTCTAGATTTATCGCAATCTTACGGATTCGAAGATCTCTTCTCCGCTCCGGCCACGCCTAACATGGCAGTCTGCCTGTGGAACGGTCCACAGTGCACTGTTGCTCTTCGACTCAACTGTATCGGCACCGAATTCACGGCCAAGAAGCACGGGGGTGAGAAGGGAATTCCTTTTCGCTTGCAGGTACGTTTTAAGCTAATTTCTTTACCGTCGTTCTCTACTGGGTTCGATAGAGTCATACGGGTTCAAAATCTTCTTTGGGCGTTGTTCGATCCTGTTAATAATCGGCCAATCAACCGATACCGATGCCTCCTCAGTCGATTCTTAATGATCCGAATAACTTTGTTTACCGTATTCCGCAACTTTTCATCACCTAAATAAGAACAACAAAACCTAAGGTCGACAGAAACCCGGAACTGTCTACCTGATAAACCCGAAGAAGAACGAAGCCGGTCGTGTTTCAGCACTCTCCATAAGTTGCCTGTTTCCCGGTTGATGTATACACATATCCATCTGTGAATTCCATATAAACCAGTGCCCAGAGTCTGCTTCCCGCTTACTCCAAACTGATATTCGGTTTTTAAAACACCAAGGTTTCCCCGCTTTATGCTGTTATTGTGTCGAAATGACGTTCACTCATCCCCCCTGATGGAAGAGAACCCGAAGCTATCCTGGAGATCCCTCTGACTTTACTCTGTCTTGTATCAAACGCATCACAGCAATGGTTCTACATACCCTGTCAGTTCAACAGGGCTGGTAAGCACTATTGGATGTAATGAAGTGAGAAATCCAAGTAAACGTCGCGTGGACGGAAAGACACTCGGGGACAGATACAGACCACCGATAACCTGACGACTATCCCAATTGGGATACCGAGGACGCTCGCACTCCGTCACAGTTTTGCACCTGAGTTTTATATTTGATTCACCACACATGTGTTCTATAACAATTTCGGGCAGAGTTTGCAGAATTTCTGGGGACCAGGCCAAAAGCGGAACATTCTACTCTCATTCTACTCTCATCAAAATTGCCAACACCTCAGTGAGACTGGTGTTGGGCAATGTGTGATTTTTTCACAAGGACGAAACATGTGGGTTCCATCCCATCTTATTTTTAGTAGTGTTCACGAGATCCATAGTCTCCTATACTCATGATCTTCAACAGCTCTAAAAGTTTGATGGTCATCGCAAATCAATCAATGATTCGTGTTGTATAACAGTGACGTCAGAAACTATTCCATGCAACCGGCACCTAGTTGAATCAATAACATAGGATGAACAAGCTTGTCAGCACATGATTGTTCTACACCAAAGGGGAACGGATTGGAGCTTTACTCCTAATAGGGCCCATCAGTAGTATGTACATTCGGCTGTGTCGGGATTCTAAGTCCAGACGTCTGACATGTGGATCGATCGCGTTAGAACTACTTCAGCATCATGTGAACGCACAGCGGCTATTACGTTTGAACTGGCGGAATTAGTCACGCTCGGATAATGTGAATAAGGAATTCTTAACCCCTGCAACTACCTAATCTAGACGGAAATGGTGATGGGCTACCGGCTACAAGGTCATCCTTAATGGGTAGGAAACTCTACCAAACTACGGATAAATTTACACATCAGATTGCACTTGTGGCATCTATCTACCTCCCCAACTTTGGAACTATATGGCTCCTCAGCGCCAGCAGTGTGTGAGTTTTCTCAGGTCGTCACGTATGCTCAACTGTCTTGATCAAACGAATGAATCGATCGGATTGGTTTCGATTTGGGAGAACGAAGCGGCTCACGCTTTAACTTGTATGAAGAAATCGGTACGCGACTAATAAATGAGTCTAATATCTCCCTTTATTTCTTTTCGCGGCCTCTGCAACGAGAGTTCTTCATTCTCGTACTTTAGCCCCCTGTCTAGGTTTGGGTAGCCTGGCAGTATCCCAGCCCTCGTGCCTCCTTCGGGTGGCACGGCAATTAGGCGCCGGAAAGGTGCTACAGCTGAACGACTGGGGAGGTTGATGACGAGACTAATCTAAACCGACCATTCCGTAGGGCCAAATGCAATCCTGCGAATTTTTCGGAAGTCGTGAAATATAGTTTGAAAGTGCAGTTGTTTTTTTATTCTGGGAGAGCAACAGTGTAATAGTAACATGAGAATATGTTCTCGTTAGCGGAAAGAAGGGTGCGAATTCATCATTTGGGGGTCGTAATAGGAAGAGTTATCGTGTGTGTACCGTGTCTAACCTTTCCCTTTACTCTGCATTCTCCCACTCACCCCACAAGGTGGATTACGTCGACGCCGAGAATGGGCACCACATCGAGTGTTGTGCCACACAAGTGAAAGTGTTCAGAATGAAGGGTGCAGACCGGAAGCACCGAACGGATCGAGAGAAACTGGAGCGAAAGTCTAGAGAAAGTCAAGTAGGTGTAGCTGTTTGAGCTGGGTCATGTTTAGATTTTTAGTCATCGCTTTCATTCATTGGTACCGTTTTCCCTCGTCAGTATCTTCCTCCTGACTGAACGAACTAAAATGGTTGTATCCAAGGTACTTTCGTTTCACGGTCTTTATCTGATCAGCGGAATGGAACCAGCCCTACCTTGTTCCAGTACTTTCTGAGTAGTTTGCTTTCGAGATTCCGCCATCTTCCTCTTTTGCTTGTTTATGTCAGGTTGACTCCTCGGTGGAAGACAACTTTGAGATTCAGTCGATACCACGTCATATGGATTTGACTCACCACCACTCCGCACTGAATCGCATGTCGAACCGTTTGTCCAGTCTGTAGATTGGTGTAAAACAAAGTTGAAACCACAGAGAGCATCCCAGTCTCCACGTGGAGTCCGTTCAAGAAGCTGACACTGAATCATGATTTGTGCGAATCTGTTAGTCGGTGTCAACTGTGTTCGTACTTCTCCGTCAGCCCATTCACTCAGGTCCAGGTGTCAGAACGTTTTAGACGGATCGGTTGAGTATGCTCCAACAGAGCACCAAAATCAGAGCCACGGGATAACCGCAATTCACTCGTTTAACCATCCAATGTACGCTCTAGAGTGATCTATACAGGCGCTGCAATTATTTTGACTCACTACTCAAGCGATCACCACCACAATTCACAACGCACACCAAAATGCGGTTGTTCACCGTCTTTCACCTTCCATGAATAGGGCATTGCGTTTCCTACTGAATCTAGCAATCAGTTAATCAAGCTCGCGCTCAGTGTGATGAGATAACGCTGAAAACATATTTATTTCTCTTAGCGACATTCATCTTGAGGCTATTTTTCTGCTGTCGGAATTCTCCTATTGTCGGCGAGAGTCTTCTTTACAGTTTCTTTTTTTGTTGAGGGTTCTCCCACAAAAAGGCAAGATAAGGCGCAATGCGTCTTTGTGGATGATCCTGAAAGGCAACAAGCTCTGTCGTTCCACATATTGACATCCATATTTACCATCGCGTAGTGAATATTGCATGTCAAATTAGGAACGACTCCAACTAACCACTCGGCAGACGTAGTCTGTGTGATACGCTTCAATCTCATTAGAATCCACCATCTAGTAGGTCGTATTTATTATGTGAATTGCATGATATGGTCCTATGCAGCAAGAATTAAAAACACAGCAGATCAGCACAACTGGCAACCGACTTTCCATAGATGAAGACCAGCAAGTGAGTGTGTCCACTTAAATGGGCACACTCTTCGGAGGGAACTTTCGCAGCACGCATTATTCCAGCTCCCGTGAGAAACTGGTCTCCGGAATCTAGGAGGGAATACATTTTCCAGAGGACTTATTGTATGTAGGGAGCTGTTTGTCGGGGGGTGTTTTTGTACTTCACGAATTACAGGTAATATGGATATGCTAAGCTTTATGATGTGTGTACTTTAAAAATACGTACCTAGCTATAACAGTGGACTGCAGGCACATCTCTAAATACTTTGATTATTGATAACCCGATTGGGTTATTTTCTAAGTTCTCTTTGAATGGGTGCTTCTAGGAATATTCGGAGCTGGAATTTGGGGCCTTGTTCACCTATACGTAAAGTTTCAATATTCTAGAATCCAAAGCACGCAAGGTGTGTCTGACTGACAAGAGATGTCAACCAATAAATAGGTTTGGCGAAGGGAACAACTGTATTTAGTGACCGTGTAGGTCTTCAGGAAGGTTCCCTCGTACTTCCTTCAGGTGGCATGGCAGCTGGGCACCGAAAGTGTGCTACAGCTGAACGATTATTTATTATTCAGGAAGGTTCCCCATAGGGATAATCAACTGTAACTTGGGTGGTTAGAGCGCCGTACTTATAATGCAGAGGTCGAGAGTTTGAGCTTCTCGGGGTACACATTTTGAGCTCGAGAAATCTCAGTGGTTTAGACGCGTACTTACTGACCGGATGATCCGTGGTGTCTCGACTGCTCCTGTCCAGGCTTTGGAAACCTGGCACTATCTCAGCCTTCGTGCTTCCTTTAGGTGGCATGACAGCTAGGCACCGAGTGGGTGCTACAACTGGACGATTATTTTCGGCCATCTACCGTGCTCGTAGATGCGCGAAGCCAGTATACTTAACGGCCCAACTTCTTCCCCATACTCGTGATCCATAGCAGTGTTATTACCTCTTCGCTGCGTCTGAATGGTATATCCCGGTTAACTGAACCTTATTATTCTCAAGAATTAGATCTGGAATCATGAAATATTTTCTTCGCTCGAGAACGCCTTAAGCTAGGTGAATTATAAACTAAGCAGTCTGGTCCGTTAATCCTTCCCTACTTTTCTGTCTTGCGACATTTGTAGTCTCAGTACCGACCTTCGTGTCCTGTGACCACACTGGTTAGTTTTCCCTTCGGCTGCTCCGGCACGCGTCCGAAATCTCGCGCCTTTAGTGGCCTATCACAGGGAACTCAAATACCTGACCTCTCTTCTTCTACGCGAAAAATAGGGACCGATGGCTTGGCGATCGATTCGGATGAGTCAGCGAAAGCTGGGTGAGTTGCAGTCATAACCACAAGGAATCGATCTCTCGGTCTTTCTTTGTTTAATGCACGTGCTTATACTCACTTTGCCAGAAGCTGACGGGGTTCTTTCCCTTTTTTGGAGGGGGATTCTTTGGTCACCCAATCAGAAACTGGTGGTTTCTCATCTGCCACAGCCCTTAATGCTGACGCATTCGTGACTTATGGGTTCGAGCTTCCAACCTTTCGGTCCCCCAGATCAAACGTTTTATCTGTTGATCACTTGAGTAGTGGTGAATCATTCTGGGTGAGAGCCTTCTTCTTCGTAGAGATGGCAGGCTAATCTTGTCAACGGTAATGATGGAATGCCACAACCCAAACAAACTCTTGCATTTTATGCTTCAGGTTATTTAATAACACCCACCTTTGTCGGAGGTGGATAGCGAACATTCTTGGATCATGCACGCATGCTTAGTCCCGCCGTTTTCACCTTTCTGTAGAAGCCTATCGAAGTATTGGAGTGACGATTCATCACATTCCCGTTTGGAGGCTATGCACTATGGCATAAAACTTGTGACTTTACATGATTAGATTTTCCGAATATATGCGGGAAAATTCACTAGCCGTCAGAAACAATAGAGGTTTGACGTGTCTACCGAAGAACCGCAAATTTCTCCAACTTTGATCTGCCCATCTTTTGAGGATTTAGACTACCATGGTTCTCGAGTTACGCTACCTTATCTCGTTGTTTACTATACCTGTTAAGTGAACAATCCATAAGTTTGGTCAATTAGTCGCCATGGAATCGCCTCCTTAGATGGTCAATCACTAATTTAGTAGTACATGTGTCAAAAGAACATCCTTAGTAAAAAATGAGCTTGTATTAAACCCGGACAAATCGATGCTATACAGCACTTGACCCCCATACGCTACAAGCATTTGAAATGACAGACTCAGTGAAGAACAGGGAAGTTAGCGGATAGTCGGAAACTGTTGAGTTCACTGTTTGGTAAAGATAGTCTCATCCTGCTCACGGAATAGCTTTGAGACCGTCCATTACTGCTTTAGATTTTGATGTTTAAAATCATTTGAGGCACTTGCTGACTTAAGCTTACAGGTTTGATGATCATCTAAACCGTTGTTTGTTCGGCAAGCCCATATCCCAGAATCTGGGATCCTGGGAATAGTCAGAGCCCCACAGTGAACACTCCTAATAAGCATAGGTTCCAAGAAGCCACGAGAACTAGCTATGACACCATTCTGGCACATAACTGCTGTGCAGTTCGAAGGAAACCCGGATTTCCCAATTCTAAACAGAAGCAATCGAACTTTCAGGTTTAGGTTCTTACCACAAACCGGTTAGTAGTTTCTCGTCCTAACCACAGTCGTCTGGAGCTCAGTAACGCAAAAATCGTTGTCGCCACCCGCAATGTGTCGTGCTGCGTCCTAATTTCTCCTGTCCGTTTTTTTTTTTCAATGACCTCGTTTTATCCTACGTGCTCTTAACGCACAAATATTGCCCGTGATGCTTCAAGCTGGCCCGCACAATGGGTAAGCGTAACTCTTATCGCTAGAGTGAGATGTTTACTCTTGTATCAGCGGTATCGCAATTTTGTCGCTAAGTAGCAACACACTATTAAAACGATTCCTTATTAATCGTAGTGTAATTGTCCATGTTCTAAGACAGGTTGAATTTCCTCATTTTAGGGTTAAGGGAGCCTTCTCTGTCGGTACTGAACGGTCAACCAGTCCTCGACGCTCCACAGCTGATCATGTGGGTAATGTAACGGCGTCTGCCTCAGTGTCCACCGCGCACTTCGTCACCCCGTCTCAACCTTTTCAGCGTCCAACCTTAATCGTACACGACNGCTCTTCGCCCGGACCCTCACGTTTATCACCATCGCCGAGTCGTCGACTTACTGGTACAATGAGCTCGTCAAATCTTCAGCGGCGACGACGTCAGCGAGTTACCGAGTGTTGCATGGGGAGTTGTTCAGCCTGTGGTCGTATTTGTCGAAATCCCTGCGGTGGTATTACTGGCAGTGGAGGCAGGTGGATTCGGACGTGTAAAGTCAAACCGTGCTGCGCACACTGGGATGGAGCCGGCCCGCGACAGAAACAACCCGCATGGCTGCCTGAAAAAAGAAGGGCTTCGCATAGCTACGAACGGAACTCAGCAATATCGTGCCCCCAGAAGGTGATTTCTTAAAGCTTTTTTGGTGGTGGTCTAGCATGTTACGCGCGTGATATTATCATTATATTGTTTATTTTAATGGTAAAGAGTTTTTGTAAAGTTTCATCGGAGTTTGGTGCTTGATATCTCTTTCTTCAGCTATCGATTCATCCAGTGCAGGCTCCAAAGTAGGGGTTTCCATTGTTGGTGTTGGCGCGCAACGCCGGTGGCAATGTGCCAACTGACGATTATTACAACCCATAAAGACGTAGATACCTCCGCGCAGGAGAACCTTCCTCAGCCACGACTGTGGTTCATACCAAGAAGAAACCACAGGAACACAGTACTCTTGGTCTTCCACTTTGGGGGACAGATTAGTTCCGGTCTAGTTACACCGTGAACGTACAGCGAAGTACCGGCCCGCAACCTGTGCATGAAGTCAGACACAGAAGATAGCCTGCAGACCAAACTGGGTCAGTCGAAGCTGGATGGACAAGACGGTGAAACCTTGATCAGAATGGTATGACAATAAAAAGTTAGAACACAGGTGCCGAACAAGGTACCGGTGAGATGCAAAACGATGTCTAGCTTCCGAGGGACGACGTTATCCTTCTCTGTTCTTTTTATCCTCAGTGCCTTGTTCTTAACATCAAGTCCTTGAAGTGTCGGTTCTTTTTTAGTGCTAAAAAATCTCACTTTAGTAACCCCGCCCCACAGGTGAAGGGAACATTTGATCGATCTTGTAGAGTGGTCTTTGTTTGGCGATCATATATGGTATCCTAACCTTCGAGGAGCACTCTTGTGGACTCTTCTGATAGCCCGTTTTCTTTAGAGAAGAGAGCTTTACTATCGGATGTGAAATTAAGAAGCTCTGGGGCGTGTCGATGTTGCACTTTACCTCTTGAGTTGCTTTAGCTTGATAGCGGAGACCCTTCGGACACTCTTCTTCGATATCTTCTGAAGTTCCTACTGGGACATTTAAGAACTTTTATTAGAATGTCTTGTAGTTCAGGTAAAAGCATATTGTGGTGACTGATGGGGGTGTTTTACCACCATCGTATCAGGAAACGCCACGAGGTGGATAGTGGACCTATTGTTGACCAGTTGCAGGCTTTTGTGGTCTTTCGTCGACTCCCCGTGATTTTATCGTTGTTATGTCTTCTCTCTTTCCAGGTTGATAGAGTTACCGGTTCCACTCACCCTTCTGTCAGAGCACGTGAGCTAAGCACTTCGGCAGAGTCGAGTCTGGGCAACGAGGAGCTGAGCAAGTGGACCCTGGTAGACAAACGAGGCGAGGATGAGGAGGGTTCGGAGGATACCGCTCTGCAACCCTCTACTTCTCGTACTGTTCGGCCGGAATCGGTGAAATCCCAGCCTCAGTCCGCTACAAAAGCTACTTCCTCTTGTCTGTCAAATCGCGATGCAGGCTACTCCAGTGACTTGGTATTCCTCACCGATTCCGATTCAACGAATCGTGAAAATACCATGAAAAACTTGTCTCTCAGTGCGGAGCCTGTTTGTTTTCAGTCACACTGGGAAGCGCCACCTGAGGCGCATACTATGGAAGTGCAATCATCCAAGCCGGTGACCACTGAGGAATCGGATGCTCAGTCGACGGTTCATTCGTCAGCAGATATCGTGATTCAACAGCCCGCAGATGGTCTACCGATCCATATCGACATGACGCCTGAGGAGGTAACTGCATGGTTCAAGTCATCCAATTTGGCAAACCTTGCAGATACATTTCAGACCTTTTCAGGTAACCTAGTCTTGTCCATGGGTGTATTTTGTTCTTCTTTGGTTGACAGTGCACTATCTTTTCTGGCGATTGCTAATCGGCAGAGTTCAATGTGCCGTCTCCGTCTCCGTGAATTAGAACCCCTGTCAAGGACGAACGAATTAACGTAGACGTTTTTTGAAGTGTGAACATCGTTTGCCCGACCTCTGCCTCTTGACTTCCCCTGTCTAGGCTTGGGCAACCTGGTAGTATCCCAGCCCTTGTGCTTCCTTCGGCATGCACCAGAAGGGTTTTACAGCTGAACGAATATCTTTTAGTAAGCCCCGTTCCAATTTATACAGCTGCAGTATCTTGTTGCCAAATGATTTCAGTGGACTTTGTCAGGCCAATTCAGTTCGCGTCCACCACTGCAGCATCTGTAAGCACACCATGACTGGTCTAAAATTTATCATTCCTCCAAAATAAGCAAGCCTAGACGATGGTAAAGTGAAGTAAGAAAACCGTGACGCCTAGGCAAATGTACGGGAGTAGATTGGTTACTGATCCTCTGGGCTGACTCCAGCACAGACCTGTTTTGGTGCTAGACTGTCGTGACTAGAATAGTCTATGGTCCGATTTGATGAACGCTAGCCGTGACTTTGTGACCCTTAAGGGCATCCGCAGATAGATGGTCAGGGGAGTCGAATGTTCGTGATAGCGGCTCCGTTCAACCTTCCGCCAGGCTTTCACTGTCACTTTGCGCTTGAGTGTACAAGAGCAAAAGATGCACAAACCGGTGTAATCAGGTTTGTCTTGCTGTACTTTTTTGGAAGTTTACATTGTCTACCACATGACCACTGCAGCAAATTCTTAAAGGATTCGCTTGGTGGCAGCCAATGATCATTTCTTCCGACGGTTTGGATAAAGTCATCCATGGATCGATAATCAACGACCAACTTCATCATCATCATCATCTTCATCATCATCATCATCAATGACAGCATCATCATCATCATCATCAATGACAGCAACATCAGTGTTGGCACTGATGCTTCACTGCCGACCCACTTCTAATATGTGCATACCAGGATATCCTATCTCGAATTTAACCACACAGATATAAGTCAGTCAGCGAGAGAGCCGATACCACAAGCTTTACAGAAGTTGACGCGTTCATATGCGTGTGTTTGTGTATGTGTAAACGCCCGTCGGTCCTAAATTTTACAGAATCCCATGGAATCACATAGGTTGGTATAATACTCCCGAAAGCAACGCCTCTTGTAGGAGCCAGGCCTTCTGAGGTGTGGTGATTCTTCCCCCAGTTATGGGAAGATGATAGTTGTGGATACGAAGACGATAGCGCTGATTTAGTCTGCGTGACGGTGCATGACAATGGCGGCCCATTTTGTGGTTTTCGCCTAAAAGATGGTGCTGTTTCTCGGTGCTTTTCGTAACTCGTTGGCAGTTTGGAATATCTCACACAGTTTTACCCATTAGAGTAAGGACTAACAGAACTGACGCAATAGCGCCGTATCCATCGGTTTGTCGATAACGAATATGAGGAATTAAAGTACACTTCCCTGCTGCGATTATTTTCTCTTGTTCTTAATATTCAAAGAGGGTTAGGGACTTGGGTTCTGCATCATCAGGATTCCGAGAGCGCTTTTTCTACGCGCATTCAGACAAGTTTGTTCTTATGACGCCCTGTTTTTCTTCTCAAGCGGAGTTAGGCAGAGTTACTGCGCTTCACCATTTGTTATGAACTTTGCTCTGAAAGGTCTGTGTGACATTTATGAAAATGTCAATGTAATATCGAGGAAGAGCTTGTTTGTGGCCAGGAATACGCTCATAACATAGCACCATTGTGTGATTGTGTGCATGGTCCCGTCGACAACTTCCAGCCTTCGCAACGGGTCGAGCGACTCTCCCAGCCATGTGTAGAGGGTGCCTGAAAGGGCTGCCCTGCTGAAGTGGAAACAACTCGTCAAGGAGCTAGTATGGTATTCTCTGGGGGGTGGTACTGTGTTGCCGGTTCAAGTACAACCTAGACCGGTGGAGACTTTCATAGTCCTTTACCAAATACATCATGTAGCATTGTGAATAGTATTCGTTTGTTGAGGAACTGACTCAGTCTCACCCCTCTGAGGTAGTGCTCAACGCACGGATCGTTTGTGTGAATAGGTAAATCGGCCCCTTCTTGGAACCAGGAAGAATATCATTAGAACGCCTTCCTCGAAGGGGATTGAATTATCACCTCACAGCAGGAGTATCTTCTACCACACAATGTGCTTTCAAACTCCACGTACAACGACCTCTTTTGATTGGTCGCGCCATTTTCTTTTTCAGTCTTTACAGACTACTTGTCTACCCAACGGGCATCGGCAGTGGGAAACAATTGGTAATAATTGACCCCACAATTTCCACGGTATTCATCTGAACTGCTTCCATCCAACATGGAGGAATAAATGCGGATGCTTTGTGGGGATAATTTCCACTGTACTTCTCGCCTCTTCTATCCTACCGAGACAACCGGTTTTGATGAATCTCGTCGGCGTTTGCTATAGAGCGGTTTGAAAAAATAACCCCATATGAAGTCAAGTGGTCTCGATTTGTTCCATGTAGCAAAACATGCAGCGAGACAAGCGATTCACTCGACTACTTTAGCATAGGGAGCAAAGTTGGCATAGAACAAACGAAATGATTAGCTCTTTTGAACGGGACTCGAACTCGGATCTTCTTTTTGGAAGACAAGTACTCTATCGGTCAGGCTACGACAAACGGTGTCCCGCGTTGCGAGGGGTTGGGGACCGCGTTCTGTTCGGACGTATCTGTTTTCAATTCGGCACTTCTTATACCTGGATTGCAATCCAAACTAAATTGTGTGCAACAAAGCTGTCACACTCAGAGGACACATTCACATCGCTCTTCTCTTAAAAATCCTCCTGCATCATAATCATCATCATCATCATCGTCAAAGACAACAACATCGGTGTTGGCACTGACGCTTCCTCCTGCCCCTCTGTTGCAATTTTTCTGGTGATTCCACACCAAAGTAGGGATGATTTACGTGACTTCAAGGTGCGCGGGTGGAGCATGATGACACGTTCGCCTCGAATATCGGATCTCAACACGGTCAAGGATTTGCGGTGCTGATGTGCGTTACTAAGGCCTGAACTGTAGTTTGGTGTTTCTGACAGGACAGATGGATATATCAAACGGGAATGGTGTAAATTCGAACGCTATATAGTATCTGTACTCCATGAATCGATCTTAGTGCTGTTTCGAATGTCAGGACATATCATCCAGGTCATAACATGAGCTTTCCTGACTGGGTATCTCTTTCATTATACAGCACCAAAATTGTGTCCTCGATGTCCACCGGTAGATCATTGGCTGGCCTCGCTCACATTCTTCCTCTTTCCTTATAGGTCGCGATATGCTTCGTTTGACGAAAGAAGACTTTCAAGCTCTCTGTGGTGCTGTGGAAGGCCTACGCTTGCATAATGCCTTCTATAACAAGTGAGCAACATGTTAAGTTTTCAGGTGCAAACGAACCAGCACCCGTCGCTGTCCATTTTGTGCCCCAGTACTGATCATGCCTACCTATGTATTACAAGTGATCTGTTAAGAATGGCAAACAACCACTCAGTCACATAGACCTTTTATCGGAGAAGTGTGACGCGCCCAGTCCCCGTGCTTCCATTTTCGGACTGTTGGTTGGACAATGGTATTAGTGATCTTAATCACATTGGAAATGGTTGAAGATTCATGACAAGTTTGTTGCTGATGCGTTCCGTGTTGCTAAGTGATTCAGGATGGCAAAAATACACGACATCTTTTTTTGTCTTTGGTAACCCGAACAATGTACCGCGATTTTAAAATAGTTTAACTGGGTGAATTCCTTTACCGTTTCACGGCGCTTGTCCGAAGAGCAGACAATGCATCTAGGAAGGATGCTCAGTCGTCTTCCTAAGAGTGACTTCCAGGAAAGAGGCTACTCCCCTGGAGAATCTATAGTAAGCATTCTCCACTAAATTCCGATGAAATTCTATTCCTCTTTTGAAACTACCCCTTATATCCACTAGCCTTTGCTGAAGAAATATTCCTTTCATGAAAAAGGCCATGATCTGCATGCGGTCTCGAACGACGCAAGTTTTTGTAATATACTACTCATAAGGTTGCTGAAAATCCGTCGACAGCCCACGACCGGTTTCGCCCTTCTTGGGGCTCATCAGGTAGGCGCAGTCCCCGAGTTTCCGTCAACCTTATGTTCTACTTGAAACCAAATTGCACGAAATTAGCGAATATACACTCATTTGCAAGCTAATTCGGTTTTTTGAGAGACTCACCTGGAACCCAGCTGAATCTCTCGTTTGTGATGTTCTCAGGCAACTGAATGTGCTGCACCAGGCCGTCTCATGTTTCAGTCGCTACGATATTCGAGATATCGCGATACATTTATATCATCCCAGGCAATTCATCAGTGTCTTGTGGACTTCCACGAAACGTGTTGATGGGGGCGAGATAGCCCAAGTGGTTAGAGCGCGAATTTACTGACCGGAAGGTCCTTGTTCGAACCCGCCCTCTGTATCTCAACTTCCCCTGTCTAGGCTTGGACAACCTGGCAGTAGCCCAGCCCTCGTGCTTCCTTTGGATGGCATGGCAGCTAGGCACCGAANCACCGAAGGGATGCTACAGCTTAACGAACGATGGGTGGACACTTTTGGTACTCCTTCTTCCGGTCAACACAGTTACAAGGTGATAACTTACAAAACTGAAATTCAAATAGGAATGGCTTATCAGTTTCCACTTAACGATTACTCTAGAAGATCAACAATAAAGCCGCGCAGCGAGGTGAGCGTCATGTGGCATGATTGGGCTGCCACTCTGTGGAAGAATTTGGACTGTCCGCTTGAAACCACCCCACGTGTATTGTGTGCACATAAATCTTGGAATTTTCGAAAACTTATTAACTTAGTTAGAAAGTGTAAATTCAGATTGTGGTGTTTTACGATTACTATCACGTTGCAATTAGAATGTTCAACTAGACCAGCTCCTTCCCTTGCCTCCTCAGTCTTCCATTAGCCATCGTGACCATTTATTTATTTACTTATTGGACAGAGATCTACGAAGGTCTATTTCACACGCCCTTGTTTTGTTATCGGATGACCAAAGTCCGTTTAGGATGCTGTTTCTAGAGACCTACACGAGGCCTGTGTTGCGCACTATGATGTCTGGAAGCTATTTGCGTCTGATTTGGAGGCCGATTATCGATCGGTGTTTACTGAAGCCCTTATGGATTGTTGTCACTGGTAGATTACATCCTAACCTGTTTGGTAAGGTAATTCCCAGTTGTGGTTGCTTTGAAAACTTAGACAAAAAGTCAGATCACTGAGGAACTCAGTTGACTCAGCAGCCGAATCCTATGGTTCAGTTGGTGTTTTATACTACTCATATCAGGGAACAATCACAGTCGGTGGTTAGTGGATACTTTGTCCGTGAGAAAATTCATTTTACGGAGTTTTCATAATGTTTTAACAATTTTTCCCTGATCTGGCGTCTTAAGGAAGTTCATCTCTCAGTTGAGGGCAAAAAGTCCTTCTTGTGGTTGTCGCTCCCCAGGGATAACCGCATCTCGCGTGTCCCGATTGTCGGAGATAGTTTTATTCCATCTACGATCGGACGTTTTACGCGCTACAGCTCTCATTCGTTGATGTAAATTACCAACACTCTGGATTTATGGAAGGCTTTGCGACAAACTGAAAGCAAAACAAATTCCAAAGAGGTTTCGGTTGAAGTTGTGTTCCGCGGATGAACTTTATTCCGGGTCGTTCTTTTTCTTTTTACATAGTTCAGGTTCGTACCCACCCGATGTCCACAGTCTTGTCCGTCCTATGCGCTTTCTTTGCTGCTCTTCGCCTTGACTTATTCCTCATACATCCTGCGATTGAACGCTCGAGTCAACAATGGAAGAAATGGGGCGATTTTTGGTTAGTACCATTCGATCTTCACAATTTGAAACGATACCCATTGTTCATCAGAACGTGCCTTTAAGAAGCATGTGTAAACTTGGCGGAAAGTGCGATAATGTGCTCGGCGTAGGGATAAGGCTATCTCATGGTTATTAGTTTCACTCATGACCATAAGAAGGTAGGGAGGTTGGAGGTAGGATGTTATAACCACACACAGTTGCTATTAACACCACTCGTTTCACTAACAACCGGATTCTGCTCCTTCAGCCGAATTTTTTTGGACAGACCCACTTATAGCCCCGATCGGGAACTCGTGGGACATTACACAACAATGCAAAAAGCATTATCCAGAAAGCGCTGGCTGGCATCATTGTCAGAGTATCATTCAGGTACCAACTACCCAAAGGATTCTACGTCGAATTAAATTTCTAGGGGGTTGTTAAACGTATGGCGCCTACCACGGACAGCTGAACTTAAGATCTTTTGATATCTCCTGTAACTGTTGTCTCTGTGGACTGTTGACTGCCAAAGATTCCTGTTGTATCTCTTCACTTTCGCTGATGGTACCGGGTTATAGTCAGAAGACAAGAGGGCGGCCAGAAAAGCTTTGTATTAATGCAATTACAACTTTTTATTCATATGATTCACTTTGACCGTATTTGATGGTCAATTTGCTCTCAACCGACCATTGTGTCTCCTGCACGCCCACACCGGCTCTCGGGCAGTTGTTCCTTTGTCTCGATTACTCATGGATGGCCGTCTGTGCACTTGTGTACGGGGTACCGTGGCCATCGGGTGGGTGTGGAATGCATGTGTCCCTTTTTGAACTTTCTCCGGTACATCATGAAATCGGATGTGATTCATACGTGTGGGCGTACTCGCATGGCACTGTTTTACCACATGATTGTTCCGTTGCACAGTTGGCTGATGCGCAGCAGTACTAATTCCTCAAGTGTCTTATTCAAGGAAAAATGCCGCGACAACTCAAAATAGAAAAGGTATTGACATGCATCGACTCTATAACCTCCCGTATTAATTTTGTCAATGTCAAAACGTCATTGGATTGCACCTCCTCCCCCGATGTTTTGTTAGCTGCCGACGTACACTCAGTGACCCATGCGAGCTTTCCTATGCGAGATTTATTCAGCCGCGAGCACTACTCTCCACTCTGCGGAAGTAAACGACAGAAGTGATATGTCGTTTCACTCGAGTTTCCATCCTCTAAGTGAGATCAATCTATGCTGAAAAGCGGAGAAATACTATGTAGGTGTTTCATTGGCAGTGCGCATCTCAGAGGTGGTGTGAACTCATGACCTCGCGGCCGCCGCTCCCATGAAACCGTGAGAAATGATCTGCAGCCAACCATCTTTGCATGTGTCGGCTTCCCTCAAGATCAAGATAATTTAGCGGTTGTACTACGATCCACTGGTCGGGAGGTCCGCGGTTCAAACCCACTCAGGATTTTCCGGTTGGTCTTGTCGAAGCCTGATTGTTTGGTTGGGATTACATGGCAGGTATGTATCGAAAGGGTCTATATCAGGAAGGTTAGATTCCTGAGAGCAACCCCAGAACGCCCAGAACCTACTGAGGCCATCAAAATCCCAATAAGAAAGCTGGCGAGCATCCAGGCTAGTCAAACATTCAATCCATTCAGCAATAGCTTGGATCGATGAAAGTTATTGTCATGGCTTAGTGGGTTTGGGCGTCGCCAATCTGTTATATTTGACTGCTGTTCCTGCTCCAATGCTTAGTGCCTGAAAAAGACTCACCGATGAGAAACACAACAGCTTTATTACGAACAAGAGAGTGCGTGCGAGTGCAACACTTACAAAGGATACGTTCCTGTTGAATTATAGGGCAACTCCTAATCCACAGTCTCCGGACGGTCGCTCCTTGACAGACGGTGGAGGCTTACGCATGATGCTATTCCGCCAAGACTTATGGAGCGGGAACAGCAGTCACATTCGATTTGACGTTGTGAACTCACTGGTAGTGTCGGTGTGAATCAGTTTTCAACTGGGCGCCATACTATCCACAGTATAGGTACGTCACAAGGACATATTTGTTTTCATGAGACCCTACGTTGCCGAACGCGTTTAAGCACTGGCCTTTTGCGCAGGCTTTGCGACCTCGTTGCTACCCGTATTTTTGAGCTGTGAAAATGCGGATAGAAAGCACTCGAGGTGCTAACTCATTCTGTTTGATTTTTGATGTACATTTTTCAGACCTCCCCGGCCTCGGTCCACAATTTACCTGAGTCGTCGGGAGAACGAAGGTAAGTCCCTTGATGAATCGAAACTTGTTCGTCTTTTGGCGTTCATTTTGAGTCCTTGTTGGTCTGATTTTCTAAACACAGTGTTGGGGGCGTCAAATGGTGTTTGACGGCGAGATGGCTCAGTTGTCAGAGCGTGAATTCACTGACCGGAGGGTCCGTGGTTCGAACCTGAACTCTGCATCTCGACTTCCCTGACTAGGCTATGGTAACGTGGCAGTATCCCTCTCGCCGTGCTTCCTCTGGGTGGCATGACAGTTAGTCTCCGAAAGGGTCTTACAGCTGGACAATTTTCTCCGACGGGATAAGAACGGTCATCATGATAAGACAAGAGTAATCGAACTTATTCCATGACGCGTTCTTCCTTCGACAAGCCATGCCACTGGATATTTTGAGATCTGTCACGTCATCCTTGGACTTCTGGTTAGCTTTGCAGTCAGTTTTCTGTTGCTTGGTCGAAGATTTACTTAGCAGACTCATTTTTGTACGTCGATTGGTCTTTTGAATCTGGATACATTAGGTGATTGCTAAGCTACGAAGTATGGGTTCCCCCCTGAAGATCGACAGTGTGGTGCGTTGGATCAAGCTTCCAGGCGTTCATTTGAATAACTCTTGATCTTTTTTGTGTCCCACTTGTTCGTGTTGGGTGAGTACAGGTCATAGGCTTTCAAGATAGAACTTCAATACAATCGATGTGGTTAAATTGCGTGCAGTCTATTTGCCCATTACACAATAATCCGACCAAGTAGAGTTACTATTTATTTTCACGTTCAGTTGAATCTGACTAAGCATTGTCATGTGAATTACCCGACTAAATCTTAACTGAATGTGCTACACAAGGGTCGCCTAACGTTTCCGTTGGGGCAATATTCGAGATACTGTAGTACATCGTCTTGACGAAACACACTTCTCATTAGGTTGTTGAACGGTCTTTGCTGGTATCTCACGTGATCCAATTTCTGCGACCGTTCTAAATTCGATTACTTAAGCTGCAAATACGGACGGTCAACCGCCATTCTTGCGTTTCAACCTTGACCACACAATTCACGTAACATCTTATGCGCCCTTAAGTCCTTTACTCCCTAGCTGTTGCTCTTGTTTTTCAAATTATTTTCTTATCGGAACCACATTTGTTTGTTTTTCCAGTATATCAGGCGGTGATGCTGTATCAGCTAACACGTGACGAATTACTGCGGCACGTGTCCGCAATGGTCAGTCTGCAGGTAGATCAGGTCCAGATGTTGTGCATTCTCGCTGACCACGGATTGCCCGTTCTCATCACAGATGAAGTATGTGTCATCTTACATTGCCTTGACAACTTAAAAGTCCTTCTGGTTTACACTGATGTGGGTCGAGTCGAAACGTTTATGCTCCTGTGGATGGGTGGTCTCCAAGTCAGGAGTAGTTATACAATGGAATACCCACGAACATTCTGTCATGCGTTCAACTTCTCGTATGCATAGTAATAGGTTAGGGGTCTTAGGACAGCCCGTGTATGTGGATTCCCTCTTCATGATCCCAACGTTCTTCTATGTCATTCACATGTTTGTCGTAACCGTCGTCAGCAAATATTCTCAGATGATATATAATTCTCATGAGCAGGTTGTCGCTGTCATTCCCCCTTAAAAGGCGCATAGTTTCACTGTCATATTCCATGGTTGTATCAAACGCACATAACTAGGAATTCAGTTGTGCATTAGAAATTTTCCAGGGGGACAGTGAGCGAGGTGAATAACCAGTGTCAAAATAAACATGCAAATTTTCCGTACGGTTGTTTCCCACCTAAAACATTCGACCATTAGTAACATCTCCATTCCGAGAGAAACCTAGCCGTTAAGATCGCGCATTATACCGTTGGTTTTCATATAATTGCCCCTCTTTCTCATTTTCCCGATTGTAGCTGGTTGCGCAACTGGAGGACCACAGCTTTTACCAATTGGAAGTGCATTCACATTGTCCAACTAAAGCAAACATATTCCTCCGGCCTGCATAACATCTTCGCACCTTAGCCACTGCAATCAGATCAGCTGATCGAACGCCCGGTTGTACATGAACCTTTTTTGATGGTTTTGTTGTTTCCACCGTCATCTTTTTTCGCATTATTATTATTATTTCGCGTCTTACTTGTGTTTTTTAAACTGGGGCTTCTGTGACTTTCAACATCGTTTAGTTTGTACTTGCCGAATGAGATGTATGACAAAATTATATCATCCTTTTGGGCGGCTGTATTTTCATTGGCTTTGGTTGGAACTTATATAAACTAGTCCGCGCTATGCATATTTGTCATCACCCATGACGGCGACGACACGGAGGTCGAACACCGGTACTTGACTGTTGTATGGCACACAAACCTAGTGACGCAATGCGCTGTTTATCATAATCTCGATTTACACGAGCAGCTGTACAATGTTTCATCTGGACTACCGGGTTTCTTTTAGGCACACCATTGAACAGCAGTTAAGAATAAAGTTGCACAAGACCATAATAGGTCAAGTAATCACGATTCTGTGGTCTGTGTTATTTTTATGGTGATGTAGGAACTCACCATCGCCACAACCTGTCCTGTCGGACAACCGAGGATCGTCGCTTGCGAAGAGTAATCTCGTTTATGATACTTTTGACTGTAGAAGGGTACAGGTAAGGGACACAGATATCCTAATTTTGAGATTTCGCCATTTTTCACTAGTGAATAACGCATTTATGGGTAATCATCCTAAGTAACGCGCTATCAAGTCCGGCAAGGTCTGAGCAGTCACTGCCTTGATTTTTTATTGATCTACTTGATATCCGTCAGTAGTTTGCAATTTCGCTGTGGTGGTTAGCTATTGGTTGGCACAGTGGGACTAAAAGTTTTTCAAAGTTAGGATCTCGAAGTTACGCTAGTCATAGGAAGATTTGGATGTATCCAGGGAACAATTTAGGCGTGTACTGAAGCCGTTTTCAGGCTTTTGGTAGGGACTTATCCCTGTCCATATGAACCCACGATTTGCTATGGGTCAAGCACCTGGCGTACGCGCAACACCATGCAGCTCTTCGGTATTCGAGCAACCCGCTTTAGGTTAAATGGAACAACCGAACTACTAAAAAGAATGAGAAACCAAACGCTATCTAACTATCGTCTCAACCGTAGAAATCAATGCACAATCGATGTGAACACGTGATGTATAGCAACTATGGGTTGAGGGTTCAGGATATGTGTTCAACACTTGGGAAAGCTGTGGGAATTTTATCGGAACTTCGCAACCGCGACCCCTTCAGAAAGGCAGTCGTAATTCAAGAAGTAAACAGTACTGTGTTGTGTCAGGGAGGCATTAAACTTTGGGTATTCCAGTTTTCAACGTATCATGCAGCGCTCGCGCTTCGCAAATGTATGAATGGTTTCGACTTCGCACCAGCTTCACATAGATGGGGAATGCGAATCATTACGTAATACTCACTTTAGACATCAATGTACCAACATTAGGCTTGTTATTTTAGTCTGTTCTACAGTAGGTGTACCGTTTTGTTCGCCCAATCTTTTGATTCCCTAAACGAGAAGCAGGTGCAACTGAAGTGTAAGTACTATTGGATCTATTCATAGTCGTTTAGTCCCCACTCCCTTCAGCAATTTCAATTCCAGTTACAACACCTGTTCAGTTAGGTATGCGAACAAAGCATTTGTGTTTTTGTGTCAAATGCATGAATGTATTTGAACACTTGTTCTTGATTCAGTTGTCCTCCTCTGTTTTAATGCTTCTAGCTTTCCAATTTCGTCCCTTAGAGTTTAAGTGGGATTTACTGATCGTTTTCTCAGTAACACGTCCATCTCCGTGCACATAGTTCTTGTTGCCACAACCACGCAGGTGTTCAGTTTGTGACTCCTGGCCGATTCTTAGCGGATGCCGCCCTGCCAATCAGGTGATTGTTCTGCTGACCCGATGGCAACTAGTCTCTCATTCACTTATTGGCGTGTGGGTCCGAACTACCTTTCATCTTGTGGTCGGTGAGAAGTGGTCTGGAGTCAAAGGGTGTGCACATCATCATTGAGCTTGGGAATGCATTTCCATGACCGTCCAGAGGCTAAACTTGGTCCAGCCACTTGGGTGGATATTCGAGCATGAGTTCTCTCCGACGCTTTGTTCCGATTCTAAATGGGTACTACCATTTTGGGTGTAGCTTTAAGGTGTGATCCAGAGGTACATAAGTACGAAATGCCATGACAATTGAACCAATATGCCCATATAAATGAGATTCTAGAACTTGAAGCCAATTGCTGAAGAGAAGGCCTCGATAGATTAATATGTTATGAGTAGAGATGGCTCGGTGGTTAGGACGTGAATCTACTGACTGGAAGGTTCGTCGTTCGAACCGGACCTCTGGTTCTCGACCACCCAAGGCTTGGGCAACCTGGCAATATCACAGCCATCGGGCTTCCTTTGGGTGGCATGATAGCTGACCAATGAAAGGTTGGTACATCTGAACGGTCTTTTCATTTTACAAATGGCGACTGTAATATTGCAGAAAGCGTAAATGGGATCCTCACTGTCCAGCTACACCTGAACATGGATTGTCTGACCCTCATCCTGTCGCTCCAGAATAATACCAGGTATCCGAAAGTTAATGCTCTATGGTCTATGATTGCCACCAGTCACTCAACATAATCGAGATCCTCCTACTCGGTCGTCAGAGTGTACCTAATGCCACTATTTTACCTTTTTGTCGAGATGGCTCAGTGGTTAGAGCGCGAATCCACTGACAGGAAGGTTCATGGTTCGAGTCTGAACTCTGCATCTCGACTTCCCCTAACTAGGCTTGGGCAACCTGACAGTATCCCAGCCCTCGTGCGTCCTTCGGGTGGCATGGCATGTGGACACCTAATTTTACTTTTGTGCGTCTGATACCCTGTCAAGTGTCCAACTAATGCTTTGCTAAGAGTATTAGCTAACTTTTGAGCCATTTTACCATAAAACGGGGCTTAATTGGTTAGAAAATTCCCACTGAGGAAAGCATGAAATTTAATGAAAAATTTGTATGATCATTGTTCATATTTGGATAAAGAGCAACAGAACATCAGTTTGTGTCCTGTCCCGCTGCAATTACCTGATGTTTGTACAACACCTTAGTTGAGCAAATAAAGCGGCATACAATGAATCAAACACTTTATTATTCGCTTTAAGCAGATGCTTCTCATGGCAAACCGACATAGATGTGTCATTTTTCTGTACGAGTAGTTAATACTTGGAAAACCAAACTGAGTTTCTTCAAGTTCACCGGATTTAGTGAACCGAAAGTTAGCACAAGTCGACAACAGGCCACAAAGTTCGAATGACATCAGACATCTTACGACTGAATTCGACCTGGTTCCCCAAACGAAATTTTGAGTGAACCCCAAGGTACCCACGAAAGTCTAACGGCAGAATTGCTGTGCGATGTGGTTGGTACTGTGAAGTTTGGCAGGACAGCTCAGAAGTATGTGGGAGGGAAAAGAGTTCTTACCTTCATTGAGGTAGATTTTACGAAATAAACTCATTTGCAAACGCATTTGGTTTTACAAGAGACACATCTGGAACTCAGCTGAATAGCTGTTTATGATGTTTTCAAAACTTTTGCTGTATAACCTGAAAAGTAAACTTAGTGCCAAAAATGAACACTGCAGCTTCATTTGAACAAAAAATCGAAAACACAGTTACTATCAGATTGGCCATAATTATAGGTTCAAACGCTTACTCCAGAACAGATGTGCTGGTGTCGAACGAATCACTGGGCTGGCCATACTGAAGAGATGTAGACATGTTCGGGCAAATTTGACCAGTTGTCTGTTCTAAATGCTTTCATAATCTGAAGTCAGTGGATCGTTCGAAGCAACCCCCGTTTTGGCAGAGCCAATATATTTGTCCGACTGTGAATCACACCTATTTGTATCCCCTTCTAAACCGCAAAAAGTTACGTAAATAAAAGTTAGGCTGTTCTCTTTTATGGCATAGAAAAAACTCATTACCATAGAAAAATCCTCACCATTTTCGGTAGAAATGGAATTGCGTGGATAGTTTGATGTGCGTGTGCCATTTACTTGGGTTGATTGTTGGTGGAAATGCGCAAGCGTTCATACTACCCGCCGTGTACAACTCTACGAGAGATTTTGTGCCGTGTGGCATGACTAGACATGCACATATGTCTCAAAATTTACCAAACCGCTTGTCGGCTAATGATGCATTCCAAAGACCTCATTACTTCGAGAGAGCAATCTGTTTTGGGGACAGGCCAGCACACAGCCAAAACCGCGCACTGCAGATCATAAAAGACTTTCACGTCCTCCAACCTAAAACTTCTCGTAATACTGGAAATTGGGGGAAAATTGCGCAAGCTTTGACAGTTCACGTGAAATTCGCCTGTATCAGTCGGGAGAATAGTTGCCTCACATCCATCAACTCTTAGCGTGACCAGTTGACCCCAGCGGGAAAACACAGGTGTAGGTGTCAAATCTTGGCCGACTAGACAACCCTCATCATCTTGCTAGAAGGAGACCTATGTTGCGATACGTTACATTTCTAAGTCATGACACATATCTAAGGTTCCTTGTTGATCAAACTTCATTTTGAACGGACAGAGTTAGTTTCGAATTCGGAAGTAAAGCATAAAAGCAAATTGGCTGGGTTGCAACGAATAAATTTGTTGGACCCGATATCAGTAGATATCTCTGCAGGGATGACGGAACAAAGACTGTTGCTGACGTAAGTTCATTCCGCACCTTTGCACAGCTGGTTAACTGCTGATATCTGTAAGCACTACTGGTGACCCCCGTATGTTTTTTGCATCGTTTCGAACCCGTTTGGGTGTCCGTGTTATGCGAACGTCCAATCCATTTCTGTCCAACTCGGAATTTTGTGTACTTGACAGTCAGACATCAGTAGGCTCATTCTACCTCGCGTTCTGGAGTGGGATCCCAAATGTATATGTACTGACAATCTTAACCTGTATATACCATGTGGACAAAAATAGTCGAACCATGGAATTGATCAGACAGTACCCTCTATCAGTTCTGGTGATGAGAATAATTCAGCAGTCATCTCTGAATTCAATGCTCCGTTGATGCTACTTTCCAAACACTGCTAACATAACCTCGGTAACTGAGGTTCAACCTACTTAATAATTCATTCTACGTTTTATCCAGCATCTTTGTGT